GTGTCTCAGTGTTCCTGGGATGTGTCTGAGTGTGTCTCAGTTTGGCAGTGTCAGTGTCTGGCTTTGCTGAGCCACTGTGGCAGGGCTGGGGCAGCACAAGGGCACTGCCAGCAGGGCAGAGCAGGAGCTGCTCACTCAGTGCCACACACCTGGCTCAGGAGAGGCTGCTGTGCACCACTCACCTATTAGCTTCTTCTCTTGGATGAATTTCACATTGGAGAGGACCTCAGTTGACAACTCAATTGCTTGATTGAAGCCATTTTCTCCTCCATATGAAATATCAACTAGTTTGAGCACTTTGGATTGCAACCGCTGAAGGAGAGAAGGAAGAGACACAAAACCATCAAAATCCACAGCAGAGCAGGGCTGGGACAGTCCCCACCCTGCCAGGGGAGTCACTGCACTTCCCCTGAGGACAGCAACCTCTGAATGCTCACAACTGAACCACAACTTTCAGGCAACAGGGACACAGATTCATTTTACTGGAGTTTAATTCCAGCAAGGCTTCTGCTTTAAATTTGGGAATACAAAGAATGTGAATACCAGCTCCAAACAAGGGAGGACAGATTTCTTATTAGCCCTGTTGTAAGAACAGTTCTCAGCTCCTTGCAGGAGGTTTTAGGAATGGGAGACTGTTGGGAAGGAGAAGGATTGGACAGGAAGGTCTCAGAGATATGTTTGTGTAACAGAAACATCTTGGAATGTAGAATCTGAGATGGAATAGAAATGAGAGCAAGTTTTTATGTAGAAAAGAATTGCTGAGCCAGTCTTATTGGATAACTAAACTGGAAGGCAAAGAGCAAGTGAGGTGGAAGGGGCTTTCTGTGACTTGAGCACAGAATAAATCCACCTCAAACAAAAGATGTTTTTACCAAGCAAAAAGATTTTCACAGGCAAACAAGAAAGCCAATGTTACAAGTAGAGAAAAGATCTCAGAACTTTTCACTGCAGGAAAACTGAAAAACAATTTCTAGCTTCAAGTGTAACATACTAACCCTTTGTGATTGGAATATAGTAACATGAATATGGTAATGTTAGAAGTTAGGATGGGCTATAGGTTATAGTAAAAGTATTGATTGGTTGTCATGTTTTAAGATGCTCTGCAATGCAAAGCACATAATGCATTGTAACCAGAATTAGAGAAGCTTCAGAGGAACCTCCAGCTGTGGCTGACAGGCTGTGGGCTGGGCTCTTGTCCCCCACCTCTAACATCTGGATACAATGAACAGCATTTTACAGAGCCACCTGGAGCCCACACCCCTCATTTCAGGCTCTTACAGAACACTTCTTCGCAGACATTACAACTTCAATTTTGATCAAACCTCTTCACAGTTCCACCTTATCCCAGCTCTCCTCGGGCAGGCGCTGAGCTCATCAACTCCACTCACCTGATCAAACATGTCAGACTGGCTGAGCTCGGTTTTGAAGTCGGCCGAGCCGGCCAGGACGAGCCCGGCCACGTTGACCTTGTCCCCGGAGATGAAGAGCTGCACGGCGGTCTCGGCCACCTTGCGCACGTAGTTGTGCCTTTTCTCCATGCGCAGGCGGGCGAAGCGCAGCGCAGACTGACCCCCCCTGCCTGCGGGGAGGGAGGAAACCACGCTCAGTGCTGGGGGTTAATCCTTCCCTTTGCTTTCTCTGCTGTTGTTCCCATTGTTATGCTGAGTATTTGGGGCTACGCCTTGGTAGTAGGATTGGTTTTATCTCGCAGTGGGGTGGGGGATAGGGGGACACGGGAAAAGGAAAGGTGGGAAAGGGGGTCTCGCTTCGCTCGTGGAGTGAGAGGACAGCCCGTGCTCTGATCCGGCACCTCCCCTGCCACCCCAGCCCCGAGATCCACGTTCCCTGCCCTCAAACACCGCTCTGCTCCTCTCCCCCCTCATCCTCCTACCTCCGGACACTCTGCCGAGCACCACGACCGACACCGTGAGGGGGGAGTCCCTCCTCCATCCCTCTCCCCCCTGGGTCGCTGCCACCATCACCCAGCGCCTTCAGCTACACGGGCCCTGCCCTGCCCACAGCACCGGGAACTGAGCGAGGGAGAGGGGGCTTTGGCCAAAAACAACTAAAACTGAGCTACACTGTTCTGTTCTGTTGTCAATTTTTATAGCTGTTGTTGTTTCTGCTATTTTGCCTAGTTAGATATCAGTAAAGAACTGTTATTCCTATCCCCATATCTTCTCCCTGAAAGCCTCTGATTTGAAACTATAATAATTAGAAGGGAGGGGGTTGCACTCTGCATCTCAGGAAAGGGGTTCTCACCTTTCCTTAGAAAATACCAGTTTTTTCAAACCGAGCCAGAGGGCAGCCTTGGGGACACACTGCATCCCAGCCAGCACCCAGCTGACCCCCCAGAACCACAGCCAAGGCTGCCTGTAAAACCTCTTATGAGGGTTCTTCCAGTCCAGCTTTCTCAGGCTCTGCTAGGGTTCTTTCCCAAGCTAGCTGCTTTTCTCTCATGTAAACATAAAAGAATTAAAAACAAAGATAAACACCTGCTGGATATGTGACAAAGCCTGGGAAAGAGGTGTTACTTTCTCTGGACCAAGAAGCTAGTGCTTTGTCTCTGTCCTACTGTGACCATAGGCCCAGAAAAACCTCTTGAGAGAGTTTTTCCAGCCCAGCTTTCTCAAGCTTAGCCAGGGTTCTTTCCTAAAGCTAGCTGCCTTCCTCTAATGTAAACAGAAGAGAAGAATTAATAACACAAATAAGACACCTGTTAGATACGTGTCTAGGCCTGGGAAAAGGTGTTACTTTCTCTGGACCAATCGATGTATTCTGTCCTTGGAGTTGTGAAAAGCTCTACTTAAGCAGTGTGGTTTAGAATAAACTTGTCTCTATCCTATCTTGAGAGGGACCATGTAGCTGTGTGACTTATTTCCATTGCATCCAAAGGGTTAAATCCCTAACCTACAGCTACATCCTACAAAGTCTATTATAAAATGTAGGACCAGATCTGAAATAAAGGGATTTCTTCCTTGTCTTCTGCAGTATGTTACTGTGTTCTTTTCACCACCCCTAAGCACCACACAGGAACAGCCACGGGCAGCTGCAGCCTCCTGGATTCAGTTTGTCACAAAGGCAGGCAGGGGCTGCCATGGGACACTCAGACAATAAACAGGGCTCGTTCCCACCGGGAGATTTTTGTCCTTCTATAAAAAGTCTCACTGCTCTGTAGAAATGGAACGTTTGAGCACTTCTCTCTTTTTGTGCCTTCAGGAGAAGCATGTCCTTTGTACCCAGCCCAGCAGTCTCTGCTGCACAGCCTCACTGGGGACACTGCTTTGATTTCATTTTGTCCCATCCCACTCTACAAAGGACAGCAGGCCAGGAGTAGCCAGCAGACAATTTGCTGAACTCATCAGTGGCTGGTTACAACACAGCACCACAGAGTGGAACTCCAATTTCCCTTGCTCCACGAGGCCCTGTGTTCCTGCAGAGAGCAGCTCACTGCTCCTCTGGGGTGCACAAAACACCTGCACATCAAACCTTACATCCCTCTGAGTGGGATTACTGCTTGTGCCACTAACTTCTAACTGTCCCAAAACCAAGTAAAGGGTCAAATGCAGCAAGAAATAAAAAGTGCCACTTCTAAGCTGAACTGCACATTAGTGTGATTCATTAATTGTGACAGAAGGCTCAGACTGGAGGCTTTGCTGTCAGATTCCAAGGGAGCACAGACTTGAGCAGAGCTAAACCCCCAGAGGCCAAGCTCCCCACTTCCACCCTGCCATGCCAGGCCAGGCTGCTGCACTCAGGGAAGTTGTTACCGTGCTTCTTTGGAAGATCCACAGTGAATTTGTGCAGCACTTCCCGTGTGTTTCCTTGCAGAGTTCCAAAGAGGGCCCCACTCCCGTCTATTACAATGAAGCCAAACTTGCTGTCGTCAGAGAGCAGCGCTGTGAGAGCCTAAAACAGAGAGAGGGGCTGTGAGCAGGGCCTGCCCCACCTGGGCACACAGCACAGCCCCCACTGCTGCCCACGGCCACTCCTGTGCTCATAAAGGGCAGGAGAGGCAGCACATTCAGGAGCTGGAACCATTCCAGGGCACTACAGAATCCCACCATGGTTTGGGTTGGGAGGGATCCTAAAGCTCATCCCATCCCACCCTGCCATGGCAGGGACACCTCCCACTGTCCCAGGAATGTCCAGCCTGGCCTTGGGCACTGCCAGGGATCCAGGGGCAGCCACAGCTGCTCTGGGCACCCTGTGCCAGCCCTGCCCACCCTGCCAGGGAACAATTCCTGCCCAAAATCCCATCCCATAGAACACTGCCAAGAGCACAAAGGAAACTCCAGTTTACTTTTGACACAATGTCCCAGCTTTGCCAGTTCCCCACTGAGGTCACAGGCAGGTGTGACAGCAAAGCCCTGGAGAGGATGCAGTGAAATGGATCCCAGCTCTCTGAGGCTGCCTCACCTCTCTGGCTGGCACAAGTGGAGCAGTAATTCTCCTGGCATTCCAGCCAGGAAAGCAGAACTTGCTCAGTTCAGTGTCACTTCAGTTTTGTTCTCCCAAGCACTGACACAGCCTCCCTACACCAGCACTGGTCTGCTGCACCTGCTGGCTTCAAGTGCCACAGGCAGAAGGATGAAATAAATCTACAGTGGCTGTGTCAAATTCGGCCTCACAGAGCACAAGGAAGAGCAGCAATAATTGTCCTGTGCATAACTGGCTGTGAAGAAGGCAGCCAGAACACTTGCTGCAAAATGAAGTTATCCTTCAATTTTCCTCCCTCTAAAAAAGGCAGCTGAATATTTCCCAAAAGGTCATTTAAGTTGCCCAACCAAAGCACAGTGGAGTATCAAGGCTTCTGAGTTGATTTTGCCCAAGCACCCAAACCCTGCACTCCTTTCTCAAGGCAATCTCTCAGCTGCTGTTCCCTCAGGGGCTGTCTGAGTGGGCAGAGACATCCAGCACACACACACACACACACACTCCTGCTCACTTACACATGCCCAAAAAAGCAATAGCCAGAATCCTCTTTCTGGCTGGCAAAACCACATCAGTAGGATGGGGAACTTGTCAAAACTCCAGATTGCTTGAAGTCAGCAGTTTAACACTGAAAGTGATGGTGCTGGGTTAATGCACAGGACCTGGAGCTGCCTGCAGGGCTGTCAGCCTCATTACTGGGCTGAACTGAAAGGATAAAACCCATCAGTCATCCTCTTCCAAAATCCACACGGCCCAGCCTGCAGCTCTCAAGCTTAGAAGAAACAGAGGCTAAGGTTTAATGGAATCTTCTGGCCAAAGTAAATATTCTGTATTAATTCCTCAGCAGTGGGATGAATGAGAGGAGGAAGTGGCATATTACACTGCAATCTATTTAACTGGGACAGAGCCAAGCAAAACATGGGACTGGAATGAATGCTCCAGCCAAGGTATCAAAGTAAGGCATGGTAAATCCTACCCCTCACACACACTGGGGCTCACAGCCCCTGGGGGAGTCACTTCAGCTTCACACAGGCAAGAAAATACCTAGAGGAAATCTTATCAGATGCTCTTGCCAGGCAGCACATGACTGCAGCTCTGATGTTCTTGATTTCCTCTTATTTTCACACAGTCCCAATGATCAGTGATCCCCTGATCAGCTCTGGCAGCAATTGTTTGACCTGTCAAGCACCAAGAAGGGAATATTGCCTTTGTTCTGGTCCTTCTCTCTGCAGCTGCAGCCCAGGGGTGAAGATGAGCTCCCCTCCTGCTCCTTCACACCCCGAGTTTCCCAGGAAATCTGGGGGTGCCCCTGGAGCTGCCCTGGCTGTGGAATGGGGAATTATGGGGTTCAAAGCTGTGCAGCCCCAGCTGAGAGCAGTGCAGGCAATAACCCCACAGCCCACACCCCAGAGCATGGAGGGAGGGGCTGGCAGGGATCCCATCCTCAGGAGCAGCAATTCCCACAGATCCCCCTCAGGTCCTGCCACTGGTGGTGAGCACAGCCACACACCAGTGCATGTGCAGCTGCTCCTGGAACAGCCTGCTGGGCACTTCTGCATTCAATCAGTGCCCTGAGGCAGCAGCTGCAGGGGACACCAAATGAATCCATGTGGTGACAGGGCAGGAGGAAAGCCAGCACCCTGCCAGTGCCACAGCAGCAGGGACAAACACCTCCCTGGGCTTGGCATGCTGGCTGGCTGCTGAATTCTCTTTTTTGCCTCTTGCTTTCACTCATCTGTGGGCACAGGCACCCAGCAGAACTCCAGACCTGTGTGTGTGCACAGGTTTTTATTCCTGGGAGGTCAAAGGCATGGTGGGATTTCATCCTTTGTGGGGAGACAGAATAGTAGGGATGGGCCTCACCTCTGCACCTTTCCCTGCTGAATTCCTGCCCTCTGGAAGCCACTTATGGATCACATCTCCACAGACAAACAGAACCACATCACTGGGGGCCTGCCAAGCCCATGTCACACTCATTTGACAACAGGCAATTAAGTCTCAGGCCACACATTTATCACGGGGAACATCAAGGACGTGAGGGGCACTGCAAACATTGAGACCTCTGCACCTGCCAGAGCCAACACAGCCTCAGAGGCAATACCTGACTGCTGTAATCCACATTTCCTTCAGTATGCTTCAAACCATTCATTTAACTTAATTAGATGTTGGATAAAAATAAGCCCACTTCCCCCCAGACAGATTAGGCACATGCCAGCTCTCCATCAAGGCTCTCAGTTAACACATCTGATAGCAAGACTGGCAACACTGATATTATCTTGGCAGTATTTTAAAGTCTGACTGGGAATAATATCTATGGGGCTCTGTGGTTAAGAAAAACCAGGTTAAAAAACTGGTTAAGCTCCAGTTACAGAGAGGAGCTGCTGCCTGTGGGTTACACAAACTCAGGGCTGGGAGGAGCTGGGCAGACCCTGGGCATTCCCCATCCCTGGCCAGTCCCAAGCCAGCCAGTGGCCACCCCAGGGCCTGTTCCTGCTGCTCTCCAGGCTCAGGCACAGCCAGGCTGTGCCCAGAGCTCAGCTCCTGCAATGGCAGAGTCCTTGAGTCCTTACCTCCGTGTGGAATTTGTTGTCACACAAATACAACGATGTATTGATTGGTTTGAAAGGTTCAAAGTCAATGTTGACTTTCTTCTCTTTTCCTTCTTCTGTCACAATTGTTCCACAGTAAACAACCAGACCATTTGGAGGTACTACAAACGACACAATGCAGGTTTAGATCACCAAGGAATGTGGCAAGCTGTACCCATCAAAAACTGACTGCCAGCCCTTGAGACTCAGAGCAGAGTTGAAATTCAAGTTCTCTAACTCTTCACTTTCCCTTTTCCCCACCTCATTCCCTCCCAGGTCTCTACAATGGGAAGCCTGCCAGTTAAACCCAGGGTTTGCAAGGTCCCAGCACCCAGAGCAGCCCCTGAAGCTTTGCTGGGATTTGCAGTGACCATCCCAGGGAAGGCCACAGGCCAGTGCAGTCACAGTGAACTCTTCCAGGGCTCATCTGACATGGCCTGGCTCTGCTCCCCCCAAAATGATGGCATGGCTCAGTGCCATGCATGAGGCACACAGGAGTTTCTGCCTGGCAGAAAACGATTAACACAAATGAATTATTGCAGAATATCCAGCTCTTCAGTCTGGCCAAGTTTGGCAGAGTCAGCACTAGGAATGGAATCATGACCCCACTCTGCAAAGACAAGGACCACTTTACTACTCCAGTCCCAAAGTCCACCCCTGAAGTAGCCATCCAAGGGCAACATACCTGGAATATCAGTGCCAAACAGCAGCACAGGCCAACAGATTTGATTAGCAGAAAACTGCATAGTGCAGGAACTTAAGGCTGCTTCCAAGAAAGGGAAGTGTGCCAGCATCCATACAAGCTAGAAGTTACCTTTGTTATAGAGTTTCAGTCTTTGCTGTACAGATGTAATGGCTCCCAGAACTGAAAGGCGATTCACTCTTGACTTTATGTTGGAGGCAGTGCCAAACTCGTCTGCTAACATTTTTGCCACTCGTGAGATCTGGTCTTTGGGAGGAATGATCAACGAGATCATGCTGGTACCATTGCTGGGGAGGGAAAAGAGGGATGTGAGCAGGCAGCAGAGCACCAAGCACCCTCACACCACACCCCACAGTGCCCTCCTCCCTCCCCCAAGGCTGCTGCTTCACTGCTACTGGTGTCATTGCCTTCTGCACAACAGGGAGAGAAAAGGAAATAAAATAAAACAAAGCAGGCTCTTCTTCAGTGCTCAGCCTCTACCAAGTCCTGCAGAAGCTGCTTGTGCACTCTGGGAAGAAAGAACACATGTACAGACCAAGGGCTGTGAGCAGAAGGAATGGAAGCAGCTCCCAGCAGAGATTATTTCAAACAATGCAGCCACATACTTCCAGGACATCTTAGAGCCCATTCCATTTGTTCTCAGACAGCTGGAGCACTCAGCAGCCCAAGTGCTGCCTTAACACGTTGTTTTCCTCAGATTAATACAGAAAAGTGAACTGGAAGGATCCCTTTGTCACGGTGAGTTTTTCCTGCTTTCCCATTATCACTTTTCTCCTCAGAGCAGCTCATCAGCTCTGGCAGCTGCTTTAACTAAACTGTGCTAAGCACACACTGCTGCTTCACCAGCACCAACCAGGCACACAGTCAGCAGATAAGACCCCACAAATCACAGAACAGGCTTAAATTAAAGGAAAATAAGTTTGATATTCGTTTTTCCTAGGGCTTTGGGGTGGGTCCTGCAGAAATCTTAATCCCCCCAAAGCTGCCTCGTGGTTCAAATCCACCCAAAGCCAAAAGGAAAATTGGGGAAGTTCCCATCTGCCTTCCAGCAGGTACCTCCCATTTGCCATTGAAGTATCCCAGATGTCTGAAGTGCTGCCTCTGCATTGTCTCAGATTTAACCCAGACCTCATGCTTCCCATTAGAGTAATGACATAAAAATCAAATCCCTCATCCTATCCTCCAGCCCTCTCAAGGGCAAAGCAGCTAAGCTCTGTGAAAAAGCCTCTTCTCAGGATTCTGAGTCAGAGAGCCAACACAGTGCTTTGCAGACATCAAACCCCAGGGTTTTTGCTCTTTTACATTTCTTATGGGAGGAGGAGCCCAGCCCAGCCCCTGCTCGCTGCTGTTTCAGGCTGTCACACACCACAGTCCTGTGAAGTGTTTGGGCTACAGAGGCAGCAGGGAAGTGCTTTCAAAAGCATCATTTCATTAGCCTCTTCACACAAGTTGTGCAGCCCTCTCCCAAAGATCTTCAATCCAGGCCAAGTTGAAACAGAGGCTGGTAGGTCAAATAAGTCCCTGACCTTAAAGACAACTAATTGGTTTTAATATCCCAGCTCCCCATACACAGCAATCAAAGTCACAAAGCCACTCTGGCCCGTGTCATTCCCAGGAGGAGCTCTGAGCCACGCTGGCAGCTCTCAGGCTTCCAGGTCACCCCAGCCAAGAATGCTCCATATCCCACTCAATTAAAGTGTCACCCACCCCAGAGAATGGCACCAGCCTTAGGGACAGATAATGGCCAGCACTGCCAGCAGGCTCCTTTGAGCAGGAGGCTGATCAGAATGAAAGCAACTCTTCCCCACTTTTCTCTAAGTAGCACTCCTGAGTTATCTCCTCCTCTGAAAGAATTTGCCAGGGATTAGAAAGCTCTGCCCATCACACCGAACCTCCTGCACCCCCCCTAAGGGCATCCCAGAGAGTGGGAGTGTGACTGTTCTGCCCCTTGGGCACTCCACGGCTCTCCTGCTAGGAGGAGATTGCAGACAACTGTTCCTGAATTGAGGACAGGAAGGAACTGGCACAAACTGCCTGCAAGAGCCCAATCCCCCCACCTACAATCTCCTTACAGGAATTTACAGAGAGCAGGAAGGTCCCTCCTGAGCCTCCCTTTTCTCCAAGTTGAGCCC